TCAGGCATTCTTGCCGGATTCTGCGGCGAGCAGGGCATCGTACAGTCCTGGACGCTGCCGAAGTCCCCACAACAGAATGGGGTTGCTGAGCGCCGCATTGGCTTGGTCATGGACATCGCCTGCACGTCCATGATTCATGCCCGTGCGCCCCATTTTCTGTGGCCCTACGCGGTTCGCTACGCAGCTCACCAGCTGAACCTCCAGCCGCGCGTCTCGCGACCAGAGGCTTCACCGACCAGTCTTTGGACCGCGTCCCCTGGTGTTGGGTCAGCTTTTCGTATCTGGAGCTGCCTTGCGCTTGTCCGCGACACCTCTGCGGACAAGCTCTCGGGTCGTGTCGTCCCCTGTGTCTTCCTTGGTTTCCTGGTAGCCTCGGCCGACTAGTCATTTTACCACCCGCCCCTCCACCAGTTTCTAGACTCCCGTGACGTCCGGTTCGACGAGTCAGTGTCCTACTACACCCGGTACCCCTATCGAGGTCTCCCGGTTCCCCCTCCCCCCCTTTTCCTCGCACCCTCTCTTCCCCCTGCTCCCGCTCCTCCGGTACCCCCACCCCCCCCTAGTCCTGCCCCGTCAGGTCTGTCTCACTCTACCCCTCTACCCTCGGTCGCGCGTCAGGTCGCGTCTCCCTCCCCGCAGTCCTCCTCACAGTCCCCTCAGCAGCCTTCGGTACTTCCGCGACAGACTACTGTGGACTCGGTTGGTGTTGGAGCTGGAGGTGCAGCCACTGGCGGTACTCGGTCCGGGGGTGCTTGTTCGAGGGGTGCTGGAGTTGGAGGTGCTGGCGCAGGTGGCGCTAGGCCTGGGGATGCTGGAGCTGGAGGTGCTGGCGCAGGTGGCGCTAGCTCTGGGGTTGCTGGTCCTGGGGGTGCTGGAGCTGGAGGCGCTGGCACTGATGGTGCTGGTTCTGAGGAGACTGGAGCTGGAGACACTGGTTCTGCGGAGTCCACTCCGCCTCCCCACCGCCACGACACACGTCTCCAGGCGGCCTGTCGGCGTGAGCGTGAGGAGCAGGTGTTGTTCGAAAGGGAGCGACACGAATTGCGGTAGTTGGACCTGCTGGAGCAGCGGCGGCGGCAGCAGCAGCAGCAACAGCCGCCGCAGTAGCAGACACCGCCGCCGCAACCGCGCCCACCGCAGCTCCCTCTGGAGCGGCAGTTTTTCCCACCCGTGAGTGGCCTTCGGGCCCTTGGTCTTCCCTCCACTCCTCCTGCTCACACTCTGTCCCCTCCAGCATTTGGTCCCACGTTTCCTCCTCCTGACGACAGTCCGGCGGTCTGGTCTTCTCCTCCACCGCAGTCTCCTCCACCTGGTGTTCCACGATCTCGTTCCGTCCCTGTCCTCCATGTGCTCGTCCCTCGTCTCCCGTTACCGACCTCCGCACTGCCCTCCTTTGTTCGTCTCTTTGTCGTCCTCCTCTTGAGTCCGTTCTCCCGTTTCTGCCTCCGTCCTCTCTCCCTTTCCCCCCTACTCCTGTCACAATCTACTACCGCGATGTTCGTCCTGTTATCTCTCGTTTCCTTGCCACGCTTGTCACCGACTCTCGTTTCCCTCTGTCGTCTGTCTCGGCTCTCACTGCCGCTGTTGCTGAGTTTGCTGCCGCCAGTTGCCTTGACTACACCACGGGTGCGGTGCCAGCTCCTCCCTCCCGTCCTCTGTCCGTCGGGGGTGAGTTTGCCCTTGGCTGTGACGTCCTCGAGGACAAAGAGTCGGAGCTGGAGTACTTGGCAGCTGCTTCTCCCTCTGTCTGTGCCATACTGCTATCCCCTGAGGGAGACCCCGACGCCTTTGACATACAGACTCCTTGTACATACTGCGAGGCAGTGTCAGGGGCGTGGGCCTCATAGTGGAAAGCGGCTATGGCCTCAGAGTTAGCGTCTTGGAGATCCACAGGCACCTACCTCGACGCAGTTCCCCCTCCCGGGGCGAACGTAGTCGATGGCATGTGGCTCTTCAAGGTGAAGCGGCCGCCTGGTTCACCGCATGTGTTCAAGGTGCGCTACGTGGCTAGGGGTTTTAGTCAGCGTGAGGGAGTTGACTACTCTTCGGGTGTTACTACACGTAGCAGCACAGCGAGCCTACGAGCTGCACTCCCTTGACTTCTCTACTGCGTTTCTCCAGGGCCGACTACACGAGGAGATCTGGCTGCGCCGCTCTCCTGGCTTCACTAACACCTTCCCACCTGGGACCCAGTGGAGCCTGAGACGGCCAGTCTACGGTCTCCGCCAGTTGCCTCGTGAGTGGCACGACAATCTTCGCTCCACGCTTCGTGACCTTGGGTTTCGTCCTTCCTCTGCCGACCCGTCGCTGTTTGTTCGCACTGGTTCCACTCCTTTCTTTATACTAGTGTATGTCGACGACTTGGTCTTTGCCACAGCAGACAGGGCAGCTCTGGCTCAGGTGAAGTCCGAACAGCAGAAGAGACACAAATGCACTGACCTAGGTGAACTGCAGTGCTACCTTGGCCTGCAAATCACCAAGGATAGAGCCGCTCACACCATCACACTGACTCAGTCACACATGGTGCAGTAGGTCCTTCGGCGGTTCGACTTCCAGTTCTCCACCACACAGCCCACACCTCTTGCTGTTGACCACAGACTCACTGGTCCCTTTCCGGACGAGCCTTTTGAGTCCAGTGGTCCCTACGCAGAGTTGGTGGGCTGCCGCATGTACCTGATGACTTGTACTCGGCCGGACCTCGCTTTTCCCCTCAGCATCCTTTCTCGCTTTGTTGCAACTGGGAAACACCATCTTGTACACTGGACAGCTGCTGTGAGGGTGGCAAAGTACCTGGCGACTACATCAGGCATGGGGCTTGTGCTTGGAGGGACTCAGCGAGTGGCGTTGACTGGTTACTGCGACTCTTCCTACGCTGACGACGTGGAGACTCACCGCTCGACTCAGGGTTACTGCTTCAGTATGGGAGCTGGTGCTGTGTCGTGGAGGTCTACACGGTCGTCGCTTGTGGCTACTTCCACTACAGAGGAAAAGATCTACGCAAGTGCCATGGCGGCACAGGAGCTTCGCTGGTTGACCTTCTTGCTCGCCGACCTTGGTGAGTGGCCTCGCTCTGCACCGACCTTGTACGCTGACAACAAGGCCATGATCCTCCTCTGTCGAAAGCCTCAACTGGAGAGCGGAGTGAAGCATATTGACGTGAGGTACTTCCTCCTGCGAGAGCTGCAGCGACGCGGCCAGGCACGCCTGAACTTTGTGGCCTCAGAGGCCAACACTGCAGACGTCTTCACCAAGGCCCTGGCGCTTGGTGACCACCACAGGTTCTGTGTGCAGTTGGGGCTTGTTGAGGTAGGCCCTCGGTTGCTGTAGACTTGTTGCTTGCTCTGCATGTTGTGTTTTCCTTTATATATCCTAGTGACCTCTTGAACTGCCCTTGTGGCCGCTTGCTTGTGCTCGGAATTTGTGTGGAATCCTTGAGATCCACCCAGAGCTTGCTTTGCTTCTTGTCTTAACTAATCTTGTGACCGTTTGTCTGCCTTGCTTGTTTTGATGCCCCTCACTTAGCCTATGGGGGTGTGTCAAATGTTTTTTATTTGCAGAGGCTCTAGTGAGGTGCTCACTACTGAGTACAACTCAATAAGGTTGTAGTGTTTGTATTGCCTTGCCTCTCGACATTCGACATTCCGTTGCATCACTCTTACTCTAATCTTAAGACAAGCTGACAACTTGAAAATCAAATTTCCTTTGCATTCAAACCCTGCAAGCTTTGCGTCCAGACAGCATGTGCTGTCAAAAGCGCCTTGTGACTCATTTTGAATGTATGTGCTGGCAGGTAAACTTTCCCTGCCAAGTATCGAGATATTTTCATGTCAGAGGTCCACTGGTGATCCCCGATTGATCCAAGGGAAGGGTTACAGGAATGTTGGCCTGGGGGGTTATGGGCGCACTTCCCCGCTACACAAACAAGCCCTTTTATCCCAATGGTCTAGTGGTTGGGATTCTAACATGGTATCAGAGCGAAGGTCTCGGGTTCGAATCCTGGTGTGTGCACTTCGGGCATCCCAGTGCGGAGGGGTGTCAGTATCAAACTTATATGCTATAGTCTGTGTAGGCTGTAGTGGGGTAGACAATATGGGGTACAACATTTCTAGGTTTTCCTACTTCCTAGTTCATTCATTCCTCATCTCTTCACATGGTATAGAGCAGATTCCCTAGTAGGAACGCTTCTCAGGGCCCACCACTGAAATCGACTTTTTTTCCTGACCGGAGCGCGAGTCGCCCCTGCCCGAGGCGCGCCCCGTTGGCCGCCCTCACGTCGCCTCTCACGGCCCCTCGCGCCACCCTTAGCGGCCTCGTCGCCACCCCTTACGGCCCCGTCGCCGTCCTTTGCGGCCCCATCGCCGCCCCTCTAGGCCCCTCGCGGCGCCTTCGCGGCCCCGTTCCCGCCCCTCTAGGCCCCTCGCAGCCCCTTCGCGGCCCCGTCGCCGCCCCTAGCGGCCCCGTCGCTGCCCTTCGCGGCCCCTCGCGGCCCCTTTGCGGCCCCGACGCCGCCCCTAGCGGCCCCGTCGCCGCCCCTATCAGCCCCGTCGCCGCCCCTAGCGGCCCCGTCGCCGCCCCTAGCGGCCCCGTCGCCGCCCTTCGCGGCCCCATCACCGCCCTTCGCGGCCCCGTCGCCGCCCCTAGCGGCCCCGTCGCCGCCCCTAGCGGCCCCGTCGCCGCCCTTCGCGGCCACGTCGCCGCCTCTAGCAGCCACGTCGCCGCCCTTCACGGCCCCTTCAGCTGCCAAGCAGCCAAACCGCCGAGCCGCCCAGCAGCCAAGCCGCCCAGCAGCCGAGCCGCCCAGCAGCCGAGCCGCCCAGCAGCCGAGCCGCCAAGCCACCGAGCCGAGCCACCGAACCGCCGAGCCGCCGAGGCCGCCGTCGAGCCCCCACTACCAAGCCGCTGTCGCCGAGACGCCATCGAGCCGCTACTGATCCTACCGGCACGCACCGGCCCTACCCACCCGGACTGGTGAGAGCACTCCCTGCTAGACCACTGCTGTCATGGCTACCCCCAGTGTCCTTACCTTTGATGCTGAGGGTCGTGCTGTTGACTTTGAGTTCTGGGTCGATGACCTCCAGCTCTTCCTACAATGCGATAGGGCAGACGGACTCTCCCTGTTTGATCTCACCTCTGATGCCTCTTCTGCCCCGCCTGCTGATGCTGACAGCACTGTTCGCTCACAGTGGGCCACACGCGATGCTGCTGCCCGTCTTGCTGTGCATCGCCAGTTACCGACCGCTGAGCGTGCGCACTTTAGTCAGTACAAGAGTGCTAAGACCTTGTACGACGCTGTAGTTGCACACTACTCTTCCCCTGCCACTGCTGCTCTTAGCCGCCTCATGCTGCCGTACCTGTTCCCTAACCTTGCTGCCTTTCCCACAGTCGCTGACCTCATTACGCACCTCCGCACTAGTGACACTCGCTACCGCACTGCGCTTCCTGCTGAGTTCTGTGCCAAGAACCCTCCCCCCATGTACATCACCCTCTACTACATAGTCACCCGGCTCCCTGACTCCCTTCGCTTAGTCAGGGACCACTTCCTCTCAGTTTGCCCCACCACACTCTCCGTTGACCTCCTCGAGGAGCGCCTCCTGGCAGCAGAGAAGAGCATAGTCGCTGTAGGAGCCTCTCGTGGTGACCCTCGTACCCCCGTCTTTGAGGGGTGTTCCCCCTCCCCCCTCTTGCCCTCTGTTGCTTCTGCTGCTGCGGCCGACCTCGTTGGCACCGAGTCGGTCGGCGCTGCGTCTGCCCCTAGCGGCGACGCTGCACCGGCAAGGGCAAGGGGGCCAAGGGCGCTGGAGGGGCTGGCGGGGGCGGTGGAGGTGGCGGTGGAGGTAGTGGAGGGGGTGGGGGTGGTGGTGGGAGTGGTGGCGGGGGTGGAGGTGTCCGTGGCAGCACTGGAGGCAGAGGAGGCGGCGGAGGTGGCGGTGGGAGCGGAGGCGGCGGAGGTGGCGGAGGCGGCGGCGGCGGTGGAGCTGGTCGCGGCTCTGCACAAAGCAGTGGCTCCGGTGGTGGTCCGCGCCAGCTGCAGCAGCGCACTCGTGAGACCCCGTCCCCCCTGCAGCTTCGAGAGTGGTACGCTGCGCGTCAGCGAGGTGGGGGTACTGGTCCCTGTACCTACGTCCTCCGTACCGGCGACCGCGTTGGTGAGCAGTGCGGGGGCTCGCACTCCACCCAGCGCTACTTCGGCCGCCTGACGGACGCTTGGCGTCACCAGTTCCCTGACGCCACTGAGATCCCTCGCTGGGGAGAGCTGTCTAGGGCGGGGGTTGCTATCTTTGATCTTGACAATGATGCTATTCTTGTTGCCATGTATGATGTGTCTACTAGTGATGAGGGTGACTCTTACCTGTGTGTTCCGCCTGACCCAGGCATTGAGGCTGCTGCTCTAGGTGCTGGTGAGGCTGCTGCTCAAGGTGCTAGTGCGTCTGCTGCCCCAGGTGCTGGTGAGTCTGCTCTCTCAGGCCTTACACACCTTCACCCTTGACTCGGGTGCTTCCCGCTCCTTCTTTCGAGACCACACCACGCTTACGCCGCTTAGTTGGCCGGTTGCGGTCTCCCTGGCGGACCCCTCTGGGGGTCCTCTCCTTGCTAGCTTCTCCACTGTCTTACCGTGCCCGGCAGCCCTCTCTGGCACCCTGTCAGGTCTCTACCTCCCCTCGTTCTCTACAAACTTGGTGAGTGGAGCTGATCTACAGGATGGGGGGTTGACCAGTTCACTCCTGCGAGTCAGCGGGTGACCCACTGCACGTGTGCTCGGACAGGCCGAGACTTGGCCACGTTCACCTGTCGGCCGAGGTTGAGCCTGTACACACTTACTACTGAGTCTCCTCCGTCTGCTGAGTCTGGTCAGGTAGCTGCATCGAGTCAGCTGTTTGCTACAGCGTCCAGGTCTGGTCCTGAGTCTGCTCCCTGCTTGTGTCGTCTACTGTCCCACCAGACTCTCCTTTGGCACCACCGCCTTGGTCACCCCTCCCTGCCTCGTCTCCGAGGCATGGCCTCTCGTGTCCTTGTCTCTGGTCTTCCCCAGTCTCTCCCTCCCCTACCTCCGAGGCCTGCCCCTACCTGCGTCCCCTGCGTCGAGGGGCGACATGTCAAACATTATATATGTTATGCTTGTGTAGGCTACAGTGGGTTAGCCTATAGGGGGTACACAATTCTAGGGTTTCCTACTTGTACTCATTTCACTGCTAGTTCATTCATTCCTGTTCGCTTATTCTCACATGGTATAGAGCGGGTCCTTCTACGGACCGTTTTTTTGGGCCCACCGAAGCGCCCCCCGAGGCGCGATCTCTTTTTTAGCGACCCCTCGGGTCGCCATTTCCCCTGCGGCCCCGCCGCCTTCACTGACGCGGCCCCGCCGCCCTCTCTGTCGCGGCCCCGCCGCCTGCTCTCACGCGGCCCCGCCCCGGCTCCTTCGCGGCCCCGCCGCCTGCTCTCGCGCGGCCCCGCCCCGGCTTCTACGCGGCCCCGCCCCGGCTTTCACGCGGCCCCGCCGACGGCTCTGTCGCGGCCCCGCCCAGGCCCTTACGCGGCCCCGCCGCCTGCCCCGTCGCGGCCCGGACACCTCCTGACGGCCCCGCCGTCCCTTCCTGACGGCCCCGCCGTCCCCTCCTGACGGCTCCTGCCGTCCCCTTCTACCGGCCCCGCAACTGCACCTGCTGGCCCCGCCGCTGCACCTACCGGCCCCCCACCACCCACCCCCCCTTTTCCCGTCGCCTGTCGAGGCGACCTGAGAGGCCAGCAGAGGGGTGGCAGGTGTGTGGCCTCCCCTGCTTCTCCTCCTCCTTCATCTCCCTTGCAGCAGCCGAGCCGCCCCACAGCCGAGCCGCCCTGCCGCCGAGCCGCCGGGTCGCTGAGCTGCTGAGCTGCAGTTGCTGCCGAGCCGCCCTGCCGCCGAGCCGCCGAGTCACCGAGCTACTGAGCTGCAGTTGCTGCTGAGCCGCCTTGCCGCCGAGCCGCCCGAGTCGCCCGAGCCGCCGAGCCGCCGAGCTGCCGAGCCGCTGAGTCGCCGAACCTACTCTTCCCACCACTGGTGAGCTCTTGCCCTGCTAGCACGCTGCGCGTCGCCTGCTTGCCTGCCTGCCTGCCTTTTGGCTTGCCTGGCTGCCTGCCTCCCTGCTGCTAGTCCTGCTCCTGCTTCTACTTGCGGAGCCAAATGCAGCCCCAGCGACGCCGGCGTGAGTCCCTCACGCCGCAGCAGCTGCGTGAGTGGTACGCTGGTTGGGGCTGTAGGGGTGGCGACGCTACTCCTACTACCACTCCTGCTGCTTCTACTCGTGGTGGCGGCCAGATGCAGCTCCCGCGACCCTCTCGTGTGTCTCTCACGCCTCGCCAGCTTCGTGAGTGGTACGCTCAGAGTGGAGGGTCTCTCAGTGCTGTTCGCTGCTCTTATGTGATTCGCACTGGTACTCGGACTGGTCAGCCTTGTGGGACACGTAGTCATACACCGTCCCGCTGCTTCGCCCGTCTGAGCGACGCCTGGCGTACCGTGTTTGGCGACGAGGCTGAGCTTCCCGACTGGGTGGAGTTGCTTAGGCAGAGGGTAGATATATATGCTCTTGACTATGATGCTATTCTCACTGCCATGTATGCATTGCCTACTAGTGCTGACCGTGCAGGTCACCTGTGCGTCCCGCCTGACCCAGGTATAGGACCTGCTGCTCTAGCTACTGGTGAGGCTGCTGCTCTGGGTGCTAGTGAGTCTCCTGCTCCAGGTACAGGTGCGGCTGCTGCTCTAGGTGCTAGTGAGTCTGCTTCCTCAGGTGCGGGTGAGGCTGCGCTCTCAGGTACCGCGTTGGCTTCGGCCTCCCTCACCTTTACACTTGACTCTGGGGCTTCTCGCTCCTTCTTTCGGGACCGCACCACACTCACGCCGCTTGGTCGGCCGGTTGCAGTCTCCCTGGCTGACCCCTCTGGGGGTCCTGTCCTCGCTCACTTCTCCACTGTCCTCCCGTGTCCGGCTGCCCCCTCGGGCACCCTGTCTGGCCTGTACCTCCCCTCGTTCTCGACGAACTTGGTGAGTGGTGCAGACCTACAGGATGCGGGGGTTCACCAGTTCACTCCTGCGAGTCAGCGGGTGACCCACTGCACGGACGCACGCACAGGCCGGCACCTGGCCACGTTCTCGCGTCGGCCGGGGTCGAGCCTCTACACCCTGACCACTGAGTCTCCTCCTGTCCCCGCGTCCGGTCAGGTAGCAGCGTCGGGTCAGGTGTTTGCTGCTGCGTCCAGGTCTGGTCCTGAGTCTGCCCCCTGTACTTGTCGCCTCCTGTCTCACGAGACTCTCCTGTGGCACCACCGTCTTGGCCACCCCTCCTTGCCCCGTCTTCGGAGCATGGCTTCCCGTGTCCTTGTCTCTGGTCTTCCCCAGTCTCTCCCTCCTCTCCCCTCCGGGCCAGGACCTTCCTGTGTCCCCTGTGTCGAGGGTCGCCTTCGCGCTACTCCTCACTCCTCCCACTTCCCCCCGACAGAGGCTCCCCTGCAGACGCTTCACATGGATGTGTGGGGCCCAGCCCCCGTCCGTGGGCAGGATTACGAGCGCTACTTCCTGTTGGTGGTTGACGACTACTCGCGTTACACCACAGTCCTCCCCTTGCGCAGCAAGGGTGAGGTCACTGAGGTGCTGATCGACTGGATCCGCGAGGCTTGTCTCCGGCTCAGGAAGAGCTTCGGCTCGGACTTTCCTGTTCTGCGTCTGCACTCGGACAGAGGCGGAGAGTTCTCCTCTGGCCTTCTGCGTGCCTACTGTCGTGCGCGAGGCATCCGCCAGTCCTTCACGCTTCCGGACTCACCACAGCAAAATGGGATTGCTGAGCGCCGCATTGGCATGGTCATGGATGTCGCTCGTACGTCCATGATGCATGCGGCTGCCCCCCATTTTCTGTGGCCGTTTGCGGTGAGGTACGCGGCGCATCAGCTCAACCTTCACCCCCGGGTCTCTCGGCCTGCGATGTCCCCAGCCTTGCTGTGGACAGGGAAGGTTGGCGATGCGTCTGTGTTCCGTGTCTGGGGATCTCGGGCGTTTGTCCGCGACTTGTCTGCGGACAAGCTGTCCCCTCGTGCTGCTCCCTGTGTCTTCCTTGGCTTCCCCACTGACGCCCCAGGGTGGCAGTTTTACCACCCCTCCTCTCGTCGTGTTCTGTCCTCCCAGGACGTCACGTTCGACGAGTCAGTCCCCTTCTACCGTCTCTTCCCCTACCGCACTCCTTCCCTCCCCCCTCCCCCGGACTTCCTTGTACCGGTTCCCCCCCCGGTAGACCCCCTCCCCCCTCAGGTTCCTGCCCCCTCAGGTGTGTCCCAGGTAGACGCCGTTGACCCGGTCGAGGTTACAGGTGACTCTGGTGCTGCTGCGGGTGCTGAGCCTGGGGGTGCTGACTCTGGGGGTGCTGTGCGCGGGGGTGCTGAGCCTGGGGGTGCTACTGCTGGGGGTACTGGGCCTGCGGGTGCTACTGCGGAGAGTGCGGAGCCGGGGGGTGCTGAGCAGGGGGGTGCTGTGCCTGGAGGTGATGGGTCTGGGGGTGCTGCGTCTGGAGCTGCTGAGCCTGGGGTTTCTCCTGCTGCTGCGTCTCGCCGGGAGCCCCTCTCTCCACAGGAGCTGCGCGAGTGGTACGCTCGCCGCTGGAGGCGTGCTGCTGAGTCTGGAGGTGCTGCTGGAGCTGGAGCTGGAGCTTCTTCGACCGTCGAGGGTGCGGGTGCTGCCGGTCCCGGAGCTGCTGGACCTGCGGGTCCTCCTGGAGCTGGAGGTGCTGAGGGCGTTGGTGCTGAGCCTACTGCTGTTGGTCCTGCCACTGGAGGTGTGGGTGGCGCTGGTGCTGTCGCTGAGGGTGCTGGTGCTGTCCCTGCTGAGTCTGGAGCTGCCGCGCGGCCTCGGCCGTACTTCGTTCCGCTCCTACAGCAGGTTCTTGGTCTTTCTCCTTCGGTAGAGTGTCCACAGCCTGTCCAGTCGCAGTCACTGTTGGAGCCTTCCTCTCCTCTGCCTGCTCCCTCTCCTTACACTGGTCCTACTGGAGGTCTTGCTGAGCGTCGTGAGCCTGCGTCTCGTCCCGCGTCGCCTGTTCGTGCTGCTCGCGCTAGTGGTCGCGGTTCGCGTCAGCGTCCTCCTCCTGTCCCTGGCACGCACCGGATGTCTCTGCGTCCGTCCACTGCTCCTCTGCGTGCCCCTTTGCCTTCGCCTCCTGAGTCCTCTCTTCCTGCGCTTGCCGACCCTGAGTCGGACTCTCTTCGCGCTGCCAGTCCTACTGTCACGCGTCTGCTTGCTACTCTCGTCACTGACCCCTCTTTTGAGTCCACTGCTGCGTCTGCTCTAGTCGCTGAGCTCGTTGACTTTGCTGCTCGCTGTCGTCTCGACTACGCTGCTGGTCTTGTTGCTGAGTCTGCGTCTGTCTGTCCTCCGTCCGTCGGGGGTGAGTGTGCTCTTGGCACGGACGTCCTAGAGGACAGACAGGAGGAGTTACAGTGTCTAGCGGCTGCTTCACCTCATCTCGC